CCCCCCCGCCTTCAGCCCCCCGCGCGGCCGGGCGCCAGCGGGAGAAGGAAGGGCGCATCAGGGAAAAGCCGAGAGACCGGGATTTTTCTTAGCCCCAAAATTCTGTGTTGCTGCCAGAGATTGAATTAGTTGATGCGAGACAGGAAGAGAACACACTCCCATAATTAAACTTTGACAAATCAGGGTAGATGGCTGCTCTGGAACAGTAATTGCGTCTAATTTTCTTCAAGCATTAGGCAGAGTAGTCAAAGAGCATTTTTAGTGAAGGTTTAAGTATTCCTGTCTGCTTGTGGGATTCTCTGTGAATAGATGTTATCTACAGCTTATCAGAGAGGACTGCTAGACTCATCTGGATCCACTCACGGTCTGGAACCAGACACGGCCTCCGAGAGCCTGCCCCTGCTGCTGGGGAAACACCCTTCTCTCCATCCCTCCCTAACGAGCTCTGCTAAAGCAGAACTTGCCCTCACAAGCACGTCCACTGATAAAGCTTCCGTTCAAAAAGCAAAACCATACAGACCATCTACAGTCATAAGTCCCATTCATGAGCTTTCTGAGGTCGCTTTAGAGATATCCATCCATCTGTCAGAATTCATCCCTGAGGCAAAGAAAAACCAACAGTTACTATTCGTGGCCTTCAGTTCAGCAACAGAATCAGCACAGCTACAGTGTTTATGAGAGTGCACAGGCTCCAGAAAAAGAAAAAAGAAAAGCTCAAGTCCTCCGTCTGCAAGCCCTATCTAAGAGAAAATAGATCCTGCTCTCCTGCTGTGCCTTACCACAGCCAAGCCTCTTTCTTCTCCTTCCTTACAAACAGCATCTGCTAGGAATCCAGGACTGTCAGTAAAGCCAGCAGTCAAGGAGAGCAAGCTCACAGGGACAGCTGTGAGGAAGAAACGTTCCTCAAGGGAGAGCAAATTTTTACCGAGGCCACTGCTTTTCCTTATCTGTCAGAGGAACGTAGATCACGCCCATCAGTTGCGTTTCGATGATCTGCCCATCGCTGGTTTTGTCGTACTGCATCAGAACTTGGTTTGCGCCTTCGGGACCAACAGGCAATATTAACCGACCTCCTGGCTTCAATTCATTCAGCAACTGGCAAGCAGAGAAATCAGAATCAGCAGAGCCAAAAAAAGACACAACAGAAATAAGCCACGCTGTGACGGTCACGACACCTTGACAAGCACAAGCTTGCCAGCTCCATATAAAACAGACAGAAAAAGAAGCTTCCAGTGGTTCCCTAATTAGTTATTCCACAGCTACTGATGCAGGCAGCCCACAGCAAACATCCAGCATGACCACTCTTACCTCCTTTGGTACAGTTGCTGCTGCCGCTCCAACGTGAATGGCGTCGTAAGGAGCCTCTTCGGGGTATCCCTGCCTGCCATCTCCAACTACAGGAGGAAGAAGCATGCAGAAAAGACTTTTGTTCTGATAACAACTCCATGCAAAAATAATTCTTCCATTATCCTGTCAACTGAAATCTAGATGATGAAAACTTCATAATGAGATTGTGATGGCAATTTGAATTTTGTTGGTTTACTTTTTAAAAACGGGGAGAGATTTCCAGAACCGAGCCATGCTAGAAGAAGGAACAGTCAAAACCAGGAGGGCCTTTCAGTAACACAGTGGCTTTGTGCAGACCCAAGATTCCAGATACGGGAAGAGCTGACTCAAGTTATCCTCCCAAAAAAACACAACAGTGTGTGCAGACCCATTCAAATAAACTAAAACCCAGATGTGGCACGACCACTCTCCTCTTAAGAGCATCTCTTACTGAATTAAGATAATCACTGCACACCTGGAGTAAGGTGTGTAAGACTGCCTGTAACATTAAATACTACTTGTTTACACCGCAGTGTTCAGGTCAGTGTGGCACAGCGTTTACACAGCCAGTGGTTTCTGGCAATACCGTGGCAAGCATCAACACAAACTGGAACAACTGCTTCGAGAAGCAGAGCTCTGCAGGCAGCCAGACCTAGCGCGTTCACAGGAGAGAACAAGCATCAGGATCCCAGAGAGCTCACCCACAAGCTTTACACGGCCAGAGCTGAGCAAAGTTGGATCATCTTCTTGGACGTTTCTGATGGATTCATGTACCAGCTCTTTAATGTGCTCTACGCCCACAGCTTTCCCTGTTGGGCCCATCTACGAAGAAAAACAGTAAACACCTAATGCCTCCTCTATGGTAGGAGATGTATTTTATAGGGCAAGTTACTGTGGGGATTGGAGAATTTCCAGGAAGAAACTTCAGAGCAGAGTTTCTGAACAGGAGGTGCAAATACTCTGCCCCCTTGGTTTTAAGGCTGAGTAGTCCCAGTTGTATTAGCTACTCGAGGGATACACAGACACTGCCTACGGGGATTCCTAATAATCCTTCATTTCCAAAGAAATAATTATTTGGTAGAATTAGCAGCTTCTGTGGCAGGGCCGGTTCTTGACTAACCAACCTCCTGAGAAAAGTAACTTGACCAGCTTTCTAGCACTTCACAGAAAATAATTTCAGGAGTTTAGAAAACAAAGAAACAGACTGTGACTACTTAAGAAGCAAACTAAAAAGAACCTACAACGGACTTACACAGTAGATTAACACACTCCTCTCCATCTGACCCAGGTTAACACACAAAACATCACATGGCAGATACAACATCCATTTAGATTCCAAAAATTACTGTATTTCATTCTACTACAAGCTGGGCTGGGAAGAGTTTAGCCCCTTCCCCAACTCCCCGCTCTCCCCCCAAGAAGCACATGCCAGCTATGGCAAGCTACCGGTCCTGATGCACCTTACTAGCCAGAACTGGAGTCCTGTGAGCTTACCATCCTGGCAAAGCAAGCTGTAAGATACCCACTTCCAGATCCAACATCCAGCGCTTTTGCACCTTCCACAAGCTGATCCTTCAGCAATTCCAGCGCATGGGCATGCTGTGCGGACAACAAGTACAAGAAGGTGTGAAACATCCCATTTTAGTTTCCTCTCCTAAAACTTTTTCTTGCTCTGAGCATTATCAGCTCTGATTTAAACACAGCACACCTGGCATTTTATCTGACACGTAAGAGTCAAATTCAAGTGTTTGATCTGGAAGATCTTTTTGCAGAGCAGCATTTAGGAAGAGGTTCAGTAATAAGGTGTGAAGCAGCAGGAAAAAAGGTCTCATGCAAAAAATAGACATTAATGGTTAGCCTCAGTTGCACAGAATTCCTAGCTAAGCATACTTTTAAAGCAACTTAAAGAGTATAGGGCAAACTCTTCTTAAAAAGAAAAAAGCTTCACATATACAGCGCCTAAAGAAACAAGCATGATAATCATGTCCATGGGATCAGTTTCACCTTTCTACTTTAGTATTTAAGAAAAAGTAAAAATAAAAGTTTCATCCTACCATATGCGGCGCACTGATTGTAGCCTTGTATCCTAAAAGAAAACGAGTGACAAAAGTTATGTGATAAAGAAATTACAATTAAAATTACCAGTGTGAACAGTTCTTTATTCTCCCCTGCTTTCCCCTAAAAATATGAAAACACTCTTCTCTTTTGCCGCACTAAAGCACTTTACTGACTTAAAATCTCCTCCTGTGGGATTACTAACGAGCGCAAGATGGCTGCACAGTGCTGCAGTTCCTGAGTGCTCCAGCCCCCAGCTCGTTCATCAAAACGCTCTGCAGCTCCGGCAGCCTGTGCTCGCTTCCGCTCCCTAAGCGGGACTCTGAGCAATCAATGGACATTCTGAACATGGAAAAGCTGTGTTGTTCTCTCCTCTGGATCCCGCAGTTGAAACACGGATGGGGTTTGCTCTGCTTGACCTATCGTAAAACTCAGCCACTGTTCTGGGGAGAGAGCACCTCGCACGGAGGATGCAGACCTGCTGAGCCATCTCCTGCCCCTCTGTCAGCGTGACGAGCACAGTCAACGTGCACACGTAAAAGTGGTGATACTTTGCCTGAAGTTACTCACCGATAGATTGAGGAGAATCCATGTATGGGAAATATTTGATGTAGTGACCTCTGTCCGTAGCCAACAGCACATCAAAGACTCGCTGGGATTTAATTATCCCTTTTTCTGGGAGAAGAAGGAAAACAGAGACAAAAAGGACTTAAATCCTCAGTACTGTAGCAAGAAGAGATTTGGAAGGGGGGAGTACAGTTCAGGGAGTTAGTGGAACTGGGAGAATTCAACCTTTATAAGTGATCTGAGAAGGGACAGAAAACAAAACCGCAGAGGGAAGTGCATCCTTCTCAGTTTCTTACACCGAATGAAATCACGGTATGGTCCCAACCATCGGCCCAGTCTCTCTTGGAGCATGGTGACTTACAGCCACAAACATAATGAAAGATAAATAGAGTCACACTTTCACTCCTGGAAGGGGAGACTCTGGTTCAGGTTTCAGGAGCACTGGCAGGGTGAGTAAACCAAAGTTAAGAGCGGTAACTGCAGAAACATCGCACATCCCTTCACACTTCATCTCTGAGGGAACTCTTATAGGGGAAAAACCAGCTTTAGCAGCAGGGGAAATTCAGAGCGGAGCGGTAGCACCAAGCGCTACTGCGGTCGCAGGGCGCCTCGCTGGAGGGGAAGCGCAGACTGCCGGGAAGCTCAGCGTCTACAGGCTCAGAGCGATGGCACGTTGTGCAGCATTTTAAAAGGTGTCATGCATTTACCACTTCGGAGGAGCGGAAGGCGAGCCACGGGGAGTTTTTCCTGCCACTTCTGGCATAAAATCTTGTTTCCAATTACAAATAGAACAAGTTCAGACTGGGACAAATACTGAAATTCAGGCAATATTAACTCCAACTTTTCAGAGCAAGCAGCATCACAACGTATCACCGTATAACACTCAATATCCTCACACTGAAGCGCCAACAGATTCTCTCGGCAGCTTTAGGACGCGCTCTGAACAGGAGCCCGCGCCGGTACTCACTGTAGAGGTTGTTGACAAGCTCGGGGTGCGTCTTCCCGCTTGAAGTCCAGGCCATCGTTCTGGCGAAGAGCAGTCCCATGAGTGCGAGCACGGCGCAGGGCAGCGGACAGCTCATCCCACGGAGACGGGCAGCGGCCTGCTGAGAGAGGGAGTTCAAAACCAGCGCTTCGACAGGCACCCCAGAACTTACCCTCTCCTCGCTGTGATCTTGCACTTATTATACTATTCAAAACAGGACAGAGCGTGCACGTTACACAGGACCGACTGTCGGCCCCAGAGAATCAACACCGCTACCGTGATGACAGGCAAGAGCTGTAAGAAATAACTACCGGCCGGTGCAGTTCTCCGCATTTGAAACGGCAAATCGTACCTAAAGCAGCTGCCTCACGCCGAGCCCTCGAGAACCCCGTGACGGGGCTGGGTGGTGG